CAGTCCAGCCTGTCACCTGGCTGACTGGGCTGGGAAAGCCAGATCCATGCACCCGCCACGGGGCTGATGCCTTGACATAACTTGGGCTTTTGTGCTGACGTGGCTGGATCATTACGACTGGGACGGCTTGGCCTCGTTCGCTCTGGCTCACGGGAACTGGGCTCTGGGCTCATGGCTTTCCACCTTACTGCACAGGACCTGGGCACGCTGGGGGCACTGGTGCCTGGGTAGCTCCCCCCACCTCCATCACTGTTCATCTTCTCAGCCCCTGCCAGCTCGTTAGTGCCTCTGTTCGTGTTCAGGCTGGCTCTATCCAAACCTAACAGGTCTGGGGCTGAGGAAGCAGCGCTGGGAACTCGCTGCTGCTCACAGAGGCATGTGGCTTTGCTGGCCGGCCAGGTGAGCGCAGCTTCTCCCCCAGCTGCTGAGATATCCGTGGGCAGGGTGAAGACCTCAGAGATGAAAACACCCATGGCACCACCTGGGCAGAGCCCTGCGGACCTAGGAGGCCAGGTGAAGCAGGTAAGTGCTCCCTTAGTGGTCTTTAATGCAACCCCCCATGAGCCATGTTGGTGACCTGATGGCAGGGGCTTCATCTGACCCGTGAGGCGTGCAGCTGCTGGCTCTGGGACAGGCAGACTCCAGAGCAGTGCCGAGGGGAAGGACAAAGGAGGCCACAGGCCCAGCCTTGGCACTGCCAGACACATCAGAGGTGTCCTAGGGGTAACCTGATCTAAACAACCACTTTTCACACTCACTGTGCACTGATGACAATTGCATGGTGGCGGGGGGAGTCAGTGACAGCCGTCACACGGGGAGGTGGCCTCTTATGCCACAGCCAGAGCCCAGATGTTTTGACACAGATTGGGTGCACGCAGCAGGCATGCCCTTGAATGCTGCGCAGCAGGACAAACTCCCCCGGAGCTGCTTACAAGCACCGGCATCTCTAGGGATGACGCCTGCCTGCTGTGCAGAGTGAAAGGCTGCATTTCAGCCCCCCCAGGGCAGCTCTCACCTTTCCTTCCCTGCAGCAGTGCCCACTGCTTTGTCCCACCAGTCTCAGGCGCCAGGGGGCACCAGCAGGCTGCAGGTTGGAGTGGAAAAGGCAACTCATTGCATCACTTGTTTTTTGCTGGGCCTCTGGCTCTGGGCTCTCAGGGGAAGGGGCTGGGATCTTTCCCCTCACATGCAGAGCAAGCCCTTCCCCGAGTATCTGTGCCAGGTGCATCGCAGGGACAGCTGTGGGGGCTGTGCCCCAGATTCAAGGCCTTGTGTGGATAGCGGGCACTGCCAGGTGGTGGGGTTTCTGGTCACAGGGCAGGCAGAGCCCACTGTTGGCCACTCAAAGGGTCAATCCTGAGAAGTCAGGCTTCCTTCCTCCTGGTTACCTCCTGGGGTTGTTCCTTTACAGGGGACCGAGGAGAAGAGGGAGTGCTGAAATAGCAGCAGGCACTAAAGTGAGGGTGTGTGTATGTGCGTAGGGGCCAGAGCAGCACAGCACCCTCCGTGTATGGCAGACAGCTCACACCAGCGTGGGTTTGTGTGTGGAGAGGTACGCGTGTGTAGGTGTGTCGGGGTCACACCAGCACAGCACCCTCTGTATATGTGTGCACCAGGTGCTACTGAACTGTATGATGGATGCCAGCGATGTGAGATGAACGCAAATCCGCACCCCGTTGTGCGGGTGACCCCTGCTTGCACCCACGTGTCCCAGGGCTTTGTCCCCATTGAGAAATGGAGGGGGAGCACAGAGGCGCAGGCTGTATCCCTCGCCAGCCCTATATAGGACACTTGTGCATAAATTAGGTCCGGAAGCAAGTGCCGTGGCAGTCCTTCCCGTGGTGACTCCCAGCTGCTTGGTGCCAGCGTGGGCTCATCCTGATGGGGGCTTGCTGGGGAAGGCGGTGCAGGGGAGGTTCCTGCTACACTAATCAATGGGGTGGGGGTCTAACCTGGAGTTGCAGCTCCCCCATGCAGCAGGGAAGGTGCCTGCGGGGTGTTGTGCACGTCCTGGGAGGGGAGATCTGCCTCCCCAGGCACCCCTGGGTGCAGGGAAGAACCTGAGCCGTCACCCCACCTCCTCCCCATGCCCCGCAACACCCGTGCCCTGCGGCTGGGCCGTCTGCCGGAGCCATAAGGATCTGATGCTGCAATTTATCCCTCGCCTCCAGCCCTGCTGCCGTCGCTGCTGCTCACTCCAGCCCCGGGTTGCCGAGGGAGGCGGTCGCCGTAGCAACGTGCAGTGCGGTGGAGGGAGGAGATGCTGGGAGCAGGGATGGCTCCCCGTGGAAGGGCGAACCTGCCTGCAGTAGGGGATGCGCTCCCTTGAAGGTAGGTCCCTTTTGCTGCTCTCCTTTCTCATCGTGCCTCCGGCTCGCCCTGCGCCCGTTGCGCTTGCCAGACCCAGAGGGATGCATTTCGGGCTCGCTGCACCAAGGGGAGGGAGCCTGGGGTCGGGGTACGGCTAGCTTTGGCCTACCAGAGGGGTGTGCGGGGCTCAGCACTGCCAAGCTGCGGGCGGTCCTGTGGCAGCCCAGGGGCTAAACACCCTGTCTGCTCACTCAGCTCCAAGGCGGGTGCCGGCTGTGCGTGTGTGTGCCGGTGGGGCAGCACGCGCGTGCCCGTCTCCAGATGTGCGCAGACGATGGACATGCCTGGGGCAGCCTGAATGTGCCAGCCGATCTGTGTGCGTGCTGGGGTGAAGAGTGCCCCTGCGTGTGCCGGGCACGGGGAGATGGCATAGGCGTGTGACGCCGCACACAAATTTCTGTGTGTCCATCTTGAGGGAGACAGAAACTCCTCCCCGCTCGCCAGGCTGTGCTGCAAGCTACTGCAAAAGGAGCCCTCTCCCGGCAGGGGCTCAGTGACATCCCTCTTCCAACCTGCCCCCGCCCCTCTGCTGCTGTCCTCTTGGGAGCCCCTCCTGCAGTGACACCTGGCCCAGGAAATGGCCTGGAGATGAGCCTGGTTGAGCAAGCACATCACCTGGTGGGTTTCTCCCGGCAGACACGGCTGCGTTGGCTCGGTGACTTTGCCGGTGGAGTCCCGGTGGCTTCTCCGAAACCCCCAAGTCCCTGCTGAGAGACCCTGCAGCACCCTGCATCCGCAGAGGGGACGGTGCCAGTCGCTGAGGGGCACTGCCCATCACAGCATCTGGTAAGGAAACCCAGAGGTGGGAAGGCCAATCTGAAACGTGGCCCTGTCTACTCGGTGCTGGTCCCCATACCTGGCAAGGGCCCAATGGGTCCGTCGGTGGGGGTGCACCTGCTGCTTGGGGTGCAGTTCCCACCTCTGGTTTCTGGCCTCGTTTCATTAGCTCTTTGTCTGGATGCTCGGGCTGGGAGGCGTCTGGCGTGAGTGGGCCTTGCGGCATTCTTCACGCCTGAGAAACTGGGTTAGCATGCATCTGCCTGCCATGCCACATGTGGGCCATCGATTATTCATGGGGCACCGGAGGTGCGGGCCACTTTCCAGAGTGATGGGGTCGGATCCAGAGTGCAGCGGAAAGGATTCCAGCCGGGAAAAGCGTGAGGTTAGATGATAGCCAAGGTGTACACAGTGGGAGCCAGGATGCCCCCAGTCTCCTCCAGCCCCACCAGTTGGCAAATGCGTGTCTGTTTTGTCCCTTGGCTATGTAGGAGTAACAGTGGTTCTGCACTTTGGGAGCAGCCCCTGGACAAAAAGTGCCAGGAAAGTGCAAAGTGCTGTCATTATTATGACCATCACCCCCTTGGTGAGCAAGGGCTTCCCTGCACGCCCTTCTTCCTGTGACCCGCCCCATTTCCCCTAGGCATCCTTCAGGGTGTGCTAGGCTATGGGCAGGACCTCCGGGCTCTCCTCGTGGCTGCAGATGTGCTTGGGGAAGCGTTCAGCTTGCAGTCCTCCCTTCTCACCCCAACTCCAGAGCTGGCTGGTTAGGGGGAGGGATGGCCAAGGAGTCTGGATGGAGGTGGTTGTGGTGAAGGGACTCCTGAAGAGGGAGCCCTTGGATTTAGCTGGACGTCCAGCACCACCAAAGCTGCCTTGGCTCAAACACTGGGGGCTGGGGAAGGGCAGAAGCATGCGTCTTCTGGCCTAAACCCTTTGGTGCCACTGCCCTGTGCCAGTCCCTTGTGTCTGGCTCTGTCTCCACTGTAGTTCAGGGTGCACGGGGTGTTCTGGGAAGTTTGTGTTGCGATTTGCACCGGCAGGGGTTTTTGCACGAGACCTGACCTGCCGGAGCCCCTGAGCCTGGCGCAGGCAGGGAACCCGCTGCTCTCCCGGTGAGCTGCAATATAACAGGGAAGGGGCACCTGCCGGGAGCCTGCAAGCTGGCAGAAGCAAAGTGTGTTTCCACCTGGATCTTCAGCCAGAGAGAAATCCCAATCACTGAGCTGGCCCTGATTGGGGCTGGGCTGGGAGACTGTCCAGGGAAACTGGAGCGGCTGCCAAAGTTTGTTGTGGCGATCCATTAGCCGACGCTCCTGCCTTTGGGTCAGATGGGAATCAGTGCTGCAGGCTGGTGCTGGGCTGCCGGGTAAGCTCCTGGTCTGTTGTGGGATGAGCGAGTTCCTTACAGGGCATTGTTTCCCCAACGTAGGGCGCCAGCTGTCCCGGTGGTCAGCCAACCACCCCGTTCCACCCCAGAAGTGGCTGCCCAACAGCAGCGCTCCAGACGTGTACGGCCTCCTTGCTCTCCAGCCGCGCCAGCCAGCCACAGCGCAGGATGTGTCATCTGACGTGACGTCTCCTGAATTTTCTGGGGAGAAATTCTGCTGGTGGCTCTTTCCCACCCCCTCCAATAATTTGGCTGTCTTATTTTTGGCACCAGGAAGGAGCCGGACAATATGCATTGAGAGGCGTTGTTTTAGGTCGCGCTGCGAGAGGGAGGCAGGGCGGGCGGGCGCGAGAGCAGTCACCTCTCACAAATACTGCTTCGTCATGATGCTGGCTAATTCTCCTCTTGTTCAGAAATGGTCTGAGCCAGCAGGAGAGGTGGGGAGTGGTGCGCGCACACGCAAACACATGCACTCACACACATACTCTCTGACTGGCTTCCTAAACCCACCCCGCTATCACCGCTCAGGGCTTTGCAGGCACTGCCTCTGGGGCTGGGAGATACACACACACCACACACACGAGCATGCAGGGGACTAGCACACTCTCAGCTAGACCCCGACAGCGCAGCAGCTAGACCCAGCAAGGACAACCGGCTGGATTGGCTCTAATACTGCCAAGCCGGAGGCAGAAGGAGGGGAGGACAGGCGACTGCAGGCAGGGGAGCAGGCGCTGGGCTCCTGGGGCTTCTTGTTGTTATTGCTCGCGGCTTGTTTTTCGGGCTGGAAAGCCATGCGGGATTCCTGGAAGAGGCTCCGGTAGCTCCAGCTGGGTAAGTCAAGCGCTCGGCTCTGCTATCGCATTGAGCTTGCACTTGGTCCCTGCCGCGGCCCGGTGGGGGCGAGGGGCGGGAGGCACATTCCAGGCAGATGCCGTTCCACGCCGGTGCCCGCTCACAGGCGGGGAGGCTGCGGGTAGCATCACCGGTGCCTCCTCCTGCCCTGCTCGCCTCATGCTTCTCTCATTGCTTTTCTGACCCCTTCCCTGCCCTCCCCTGATTTATTTTTCCTCTTCGGCCGCTCATCTGCGTCCTCTGGCTTGCAGCAGGCCTCTTGCTCCCCCCAGGCACCTGGGACAGGGGTGGAGGCCTCAAGGTTGGGCATCACAAATGGCGTAGTTCCCATAAGTGCCCCGGGCATGACGGGGGCGGGGGGTTCGGGTGTCACAGTGAGGTTCGGGCTCACAGCGGGTTGCTGTGCCAGGGTTTTGGGGCTGGGCACTGCTGTCTGGGAGTGGTTTGGTGTGGAGTAAAATGCCTGGGGTTGGGCTGTTCGAGATGCTGAGCCAGGCAGCGACAACTGATGGGGTCACGGAGCAGCGGTGGGTGCTGAGATTCCTGCGCCGCGCCCCGGAGTCGGTAAGTTTGGAGAGGAACAGGGGTGTCCCTGGTTTCTGACAGCAAAGCGGCTTCCCCGGCTGCCTTTCTGAGTGGGCACAGAAAAGCCCTGGCTCTTCCCGCCCCACCCAGCAAGGGCACACCCAGCACTCATGGCAGGCAGGCCAGAAATGCTGCCCGGCTGGGCCTTTTGATAGCCGTTTCCTCCTGAGATGTGTGTTAGTGACTAGCAGGAAAGCGCTAGCCGGGCATGCTGCCCTCATGGCTGCGTGTCCCCCGCCCTGAGTGGGTCATGCTGCCCTCACAGCTGCATGCCCCCCCCCCATCCAGCTGCAGGCTCCCATAGAGCAGCCTGCTTCCTCCAGCTGTGCTTGGCAATGCCATTGTGTGCCCTGCTGCTCCCAGGGCTGCGATGGGCATGCATCGAGGGCCTGCAGCCTCCCCAGGACCGTCTATGGGCTGAGCAGAGCACCAGCAGCCCCCAGACTCGCAGGAGAGCAGCAGAGGGTTGCAAGCCACGAGCAAGACATAGGAGTAGGAGGGAGGCGGTGGATGGGCTCCAGTAATGAGTTGGAGGGCCAGGAGAGGATGTCTCAAGGGCGCCGGCCCCTTGGCCTGCAGGTCACAGGTCAGAGAGCAGCCTGGGTCAGCACTGAGCCACAGCCGTGCCAGTGGGCAGCAAGTGTGCAGGGTCCAAGCAGGCCAGGGACCCCAGCGCAACAAGCCCTGCTAGTGGACAGCAGCAGGCAGCCCGGGGTTTATCAGCCAGCAGAGGCTGGACCCCGCTCCTGCTCCAGCAGAGGCAAGGCAGGAGCCGTGCTGGGTGGGAGGGGGCAGACTCAATGGCAGCTGGGCCACGATGCCAGGCCAGTCCTGGAGCTGGACACCCACTGCTTGCAGGCAAAAGGGCTCCTGGCTCACTGTGGGACGGGGATGCTCATGGGATCGGGAGGCAGGGGTGGCCTTCTTACGTACCCAGCTCCGCCTGAGGCCTCCAGGCCTGCTCATAGGGGCAGGTGTGTTGGAGACGACACAGCTCCAACCCCGGCCTCACCTGGAGTCCCGCAGCTCTGGGATTTCACTCTGGCCTGTAACAGATTTCTGCTCCAGCGGTGGGCTGGGACCGGTGGGCTGGGACCGTACAGCATCCCTAGGGCTCTGGTCCAGCGAGCTGGTACAGACCTGCTGGCACCGCAGCAGGAGGAGAAGGGATCGGTCTAGCCGCGCCATGACACTGGAGATGGCCGTCCAGCTGGTGGGTGGGTGGGTAAGGAAGGGCAGAGCTCCTTGGGGTGCACCAGCTGCTGGGATGCAGGGGCTCTGGCTGGCCTGGTTCTGGGATGAGGATGGGAGGGACTGGACATGCTGGAGAGTGGAGGCCTGCCAGGGGCCACCGTTTCCATGTCCCTCTTTCTGTTGCTGTTCCTGTGCATGAAGCTCGCTGGGGGCTGGGCTTGGCTGGGTGATCATTACTGGCATCCAGCCTCGCCCGTCTCCATGTCTGTGGCCTGGTTGGTGATCATCCCTGTGTTGTTTTGCGTGGCACTGGCGTGCTCAGGCTCGCGGCAGGCAGTCCAAGCCCCTGCCCTGCGGAGCGTGCGGTTGTGGTGTGCAGGCACAGGGGCAGCTCGGGGAAGCCGCTGGAAGCACTGAGTGAGCATCTCGGAGCTGCTTGCAGGGTTTGTGCCGCTGTCCCCGGCAAGGGCAAAGCCAGGGGGTGATGCTGGGGGCTTGTGGCTCTGTTCACCCACCTTGCCCTACAGGAAAGAGGTGAACAGGCCCTCGCCTCTCCATGCACCGCGTTGCTTTTCAGCAGGCTGCCGGCTCAGGAACCCCGTTCGGTGACGAGAGCCAAGGTGGGGCTGGCGGGGGCCGCCTAGCAGCAAGAGGGAGAGGTGGGCAGAGGTTATGGGGCAGGTCTGGGTACTCCACTGCTCCCTGTGAGCAAAGGAGGTCACACAGGGTTTGCTTTATCCTGGCACTATTGGTCCGGTTTGTGCTGGAGAGCCGGCCTTTCTCGGCTGGGCTCGCTGTGCGGGGGTTGATCTCTGCTGGCCCTGTCTGCGCTGGAGGGTACGGCTGTGCGGATGGGAGCGGAAATGTTGCTCAAGCGTGGCATGGACTTGCACCTCTGGTGTATATGCAGAGACACATGTGTATAAGCCTGTCCCTCTGGGGCTTTTCCCTGCATAGGAAACCAGAGGCTGTGCCAGCCCTGGGCGGTTTCAGAGCCGGAGCGTGCGCCCCTTTCAGTGCAACCTGGTTCTTGAGAGCGCTCCCAATCCCTGGGCACCTCCCGCCAGCGTTGAATAAGAGGCAGCGCCTGCGCTGCTGGACCCCGCCTGGTTACCTCGGCTGGCCATCCCGGAGCAACCCGCTGGCTTAGTGCTGGTGCTGCCCGTCAGGCCCTTGGTTGTGCCTGCCTGGGTGTATTTTTTTGCAACGTGCTACACAAATGCTTCGTAATAAGGGCCGGGGACCAGGCTGGGAGCGTTAGCAAGGCACTGCTGCTCTGTGCTTCGGGCAGGGAGCGGCCTGCCAGGGAAACTCGCCCTGCTGAAGAATGAGCCCCCGCCCCTGTGCCGGGGGGTCCCAGGGGGCCCTATGGGCTGAGGCCAAGCATTCAACCCCTGCCTGCCCAGCCCTTCCCCCCAGGGTCGGGTTCTGCTGACGCTGCAGCTTTGCCAACAGGTTGTAAAGCTAGAAGGGGCTGCGGGAGCCCGGAGGGAGCCAGGTTGGCTTTGAAGTGCCTCGGAGAATAGCGGGCCTGTCTCCTGCCTCCCAGCCCCACCGCGGAGCCAGCCTGCTGGCACCGGGGCCTTCTTGCCTGGCTGCCTGTTCCCAGCCTTGCCTTGCTGTGGCTGGCCGTGAGAGCTCAAGCCTCGGGGATTGCGATGCCTCCCCCAGGTGCCAGACTCCAGGGTTAACTGGAGAAGGGCCCCGCACGTAGTGGGGGTAGTGCCACTCAGCTGGGTGCTTGTACAGGGCATGCACAAAGTGCAAGGCACCGCAGGTGTGGACTGGCACCTGGCCCCTGCAAACCGAGAGAGAAGGGGCTGGTGCCAGTGCGACGCCCGGGAGCGGGGTTAGGGCACCGCAGGCAGCAGCTGCCTGGGGCCAGGAGCTGGTTGCATTAGCAGCCGTCTAATAGCCAAGCAGCCCAGCTGATGCAAGTGCTGGTTCCCTGCAATAAATAAGGGCCGAGCCTTTGCCAAAAGTTGATGAGCCTACCCATGGTGCTCAGGAAAGGAAGGGGGAGTCCTGCCTCCTCCTGGGGCCCCAGGGTGCTTTGGGTGCCCCCGTCCCAGGATCTGGGGAGGGGAAGGGAGGCTGCTGGGGGCTGGCTACTGTGGACATACACACATGCCCCCGACGCCCCCAGCGCTCAGTCTGGGTGTGGCAGTGGCCCTCCACTGCCCCAGCACCGAGCCCCGGCCTGCTTCCTCTCCCCCACACACCAAAGAGATGCTCTCAGCAGAGGCCTCCCGGCGCCTCGCCTAGAGGATGAGCAGGCTAATCCCACTTTAAACCCAGATTACATGTCACGTGGGCCTTCTCCGTGCCCCACTGCACCGTGGCCACCCCCTCTCCAGCACGCAGGGCTAACTAAAAGGGCATCAGGGCCACAGTCAGACTCTGGCCACGCAGGAGCTGTGCTCCTGGTCTGAGCAGGGCCATTGCACTGGTATGGGGGGGATCAGGAGAGTCAGAGCCCCCTGCCTCCAGTCTCAGCTCCTGCGTGCGGATGACTGTGCTGGGTCTGTGGCAGCAGGCAGCAGTGATGCCTTGTGCTTGCAAGCTGTGGGTCCGAGGCCGTGTCTTACAGCTGGGATCCGTACAGCCCAGCTATGCTTATCCCACAGGGCCTGGCCTAGGAGCAGCCACTTTATCAGTGGCACGTGCTGCCCAGAAGCTGGCAGGGTGCGGGCTCTGCCGGTGTGTGCCGCTTGAAGCCAGAGAGTGGGCCCCTTTGGCTGAAGGCAGGGATGCTACGAGCCTGTTGCTTCAGCACTTAGCAGCCACCTACACAGCTGAGTGGGCTGGAAGGGAGCTGTCAGTCTTGGCTCTGCCCTGCCCCGTGCCACCCCCCCTGCCGTGAGCAAGCTTCCCTGGTTGGGGAAACGTAGCCCAGCCACTGTACTGCCCAGGGTGCTGCACACGCGAGAGCCGCCCCCCAGCCAAGCACCTCTGCTGGGTGTTGTTAAACAGCTTGGGAGGGACAAACTGAGAGCAAAAGAAGAGCAAGGCCCCTGGGGAGGGCAGAGAAGGAAAGCAGGGCTGGATGCAGATGGAGCTGGGTCCAGCGTCTGCGTCTCCCGTGGCAGTGCCACCACCTTGCTGCGCGGGGTGGAGCAAAGCAAGCTCATAGGGCCAGGCGCGGCTGCATCGTCCCAGTCTCTGTAGGCAGCTCAGCCAACAGACTAGATCACTGCCTG